GGGGGGGAGGGGGGAGGGCCAACAAAACTAAATAATGACCTGGTAGTTTCCTTTTTTTTAATGAGATGACTACTGCAAGTAGCAATAACTTCTAGCCTTTTGCAATCTTTTCACATTAGTAATAGAAACAGCTACTTTTAATAAAAGAACCACTAACCAAAGCAGTGATTAAAAATAAGTAATGTTCTTTGGTGTCGCATATGTGGTATTAACATACTTCTTAGCAGAAGGTAACAGAGTATCATTAGCGTATCAGAATTCAGTGTTATTGGACGTGAAACCAACGTGATATAGCTCACATGAATTCAATAGAAGATAATAAGTTCTCTCAGACACTATTTTGGTCATGGTTAAAAAGTTTGTAAGTACCACTGCACAAATTCTGAAGCTCTAATATACCCATATACCCTTCCACTTCCCCTTGGTGGAAGACGTTAATCACCACAACACTGGTTCTAATTGCACTTTCTATCTTTCAGCTGCAATTGCAAACGTGATATTTCTGAAGACAAACTTACAAGAATATACAAATAGGGGCGGAAGAAGTCAAGGTGGGAAAGAGGGAAATGGGTTTATACTTTAAAACTATAACAAAAATATAATTTGGAGGTGGCAAGGACAGCTAGCATGAAACCCCAGAACATGTTTTAGTTATTTCTGCCTTACTACTCCAGCTGTTAATGCCAGTCTTTCCCCTTCATAACTGTAGTATCTCAGATTTCTTTTTCTCAGCTACATCCCTCTTGCACTTTCTTTCTCTAGGCTCAACATGCAGTAGAAGGTGAACTAATACTCTGATCTTGAAATCAACACCAAGATGTTCTTACTCTTGTAAAGCCTTAACTTTTTTAAACAGAGTTCATAGAGCGAAAAGTTCAAAAGTAGCAAAACCCAACTGTGACTTAAACCCAGAGACAGATATGTAAGCAATAAGATTTAATTCAAAGCATCTGTTTTAGTATTCAGCTGCATTAGAAATATTTTTATTTATTCATTTGACTACTGCCAGTCTCTCTCAGAACCTGAAAAAGGACAATCTCCTTCATCTCTACATCTATATTGCATTTGTCACTCAAATTCCTTGGGACAAACTACAGAATACCAAAACAAGATACAACCTAAAACTTTTTCAGACATCTCATGCTCACTCCCTATGTCTCCCTATGCTGTACAAGCCACACTGCTGCCAACAGCTACTCAAAATAAGCAATGCATTTAATAGGTATAAGAAATTGCAGGCAGCTGGAGGTGGAGGCAAGACAACTCTGTGTCTTGGGATTCTCATTTTCGCACAGTGTTGACAGTCTCTATACTAAAAGAGATACTATCACCTCCAGCCTGATTTAAGAAAGTAAATTGAAAGCTGTTTACATCCCCAGGAAGAAGTTTAGAGTAATACATTTTCTGTAGTCAGTCCTCTAGCATTATTCTTCCACCCATCCACAAAATGACCACAGCATTACAAGATGAAAAGAAATCAACTTTCTTCTAGCTTGTTAGCAAGAAACTGAGTTCTCTAACTGCCTGATATAAGAAGTAACCCACAGGGAAAGGTTTCTCAAAATATCTGCTACGATAAAACATTCGCAGATAAAGGGTATCACATTAACAAACATACACAATTTAAGGGAGCGGCATATCATCTTTCCCTCTTAGCTTTCGTATTAACACAAACCATGAAACTTCACCATTTACTACTAATTCATTTTATCCCATCTTCACTTAAGTGATGGAGACTCTCTCTTTCCAGTGTAATTTGCTTGTATTGCACCAATAGTTAAAATATTCCTTTCTATTTACTAATGTTGATTCCACTGGGAACACAATGGCGCAGGAGCCTAACAACTATTATTAAACCTCATGGTAAAACAATTGATAATCCACTTAAGATAGTTCAAACAACGTTGACATGTTATAGCTAAAAAGAATTGTGAAGAAATAAGGTTATCTATGAACATAACATAGTGCAAGACCTTCAAGAAAGTGAACTGTTCACTTCTTCCACCACAAAACCAGAAACTTTTTAACCTTAGGTGCTTTTAACTTTTCCGTTTCCCCTACCTGTTTCAAACTACGGTGGGAAACCCATTTACTTGCATAAGAAAGCATTGGCAGAGCATGACAATAAGGCACACAATAGAAAAGCGTAACAGTAACACATACTAAGGCAGCTGCACCACTCTATTCCTTAAAAGGTCAGTCTTGGCCATACTAACATTCTAGGAGGGACTGAAGAGTAATTTCAAGGCTGCACCTAAAAACAGTAGACAGTTTTTCTACAACAGCTCACTGCATTTATTGGTGTGAAAATTGCCATCTCCTCATTGAAGCTCAATTCAGGCTACTGAAGTTACAACACCAACATTCAAAGACTTAAATGACTTAAGAGGATTGCATTAATCTTCAGTGCAGAACTCACAGCAGTATATGTATTTTGAAATCTTTTGGTGATCTGTGCATTACCAAAAGTTTGTAGAACACATCTGAGCTGGCCACGAGTTGCAAATAAAGATGCCTTTACACAGGTCGACTGATCTTTCCATTATATATAAACACTACTTCTCCATGCTCATTTGTTATGCTGAGAATTCTCACTTCCATCAGAAAAATAAAATCAAGAGCAACTCACAGTTTACCACGTATACTGAAACAGCAATTGACTGAGTAACTTCTGATCTTAATTTCCATTCCGCTCCA